GCCACTTAATCTCTGAAGTACAAGCTATAAGAACGCACATGGCAAATTGTTTGGTTGGTTTAGTGCAAATTTCTGATTGATATTTTCAGTGTGACCGAGCAAGCAATCTTCTCTCAGTCCCTCTGAAGCTCTGATCTTAATCACGCATGTTAGGCTTTTAAATCCTGTATCTTGCCATGACATTTCAATTAGGTCAAATGAAAAGACATGTGAGGTAAATGAATTTCCTTTGAGACCTAATTTAATCTCCAAAGAACAAACATGGAATAAAAGATGTAGAGATTACCACAGATAAGCTACTGACTTGTGCTTGGAGTCTTTGGAAGAAGACTTAAATGATGCCTTGAAGCAGGTACAAGATGTCTCAGGAGAATGGAAATGGGTTAGAGCACACTCCATTTGCAACTTCAAATGCAAGCTTGATAAAACCACGGTCTTTGATAGCGAAGCTGGTGGTCCCAGCTCCGAGGGAAGAGCACCCAGCTCCTGGAGAACACAGACACTACGTGATCTCAGGAGTTGCCTTCTCAAGGGAGAAGCCATGAGCTGTGGGAGGTTGTAACCCAGAGTGTTTTCTTTAAAGGTTGGAGGAGACCTTCAGCCCTAAGACCAGGAGCCAGCAGGACCCAGGCTGTGAGCTCCAGGCTCCTGGCCATGCCCCTGGCTGCCGAACGCGTGCCTTGGCGATGGCTGGTGGCGGGCAGGGCGTCACGGAGGCTGGTGCTGGTGGTGGTGTTCGTCGCACTGCTGCTGGACAACATGCTGCTGACGGTCGTGGGTACGGTGTGCGGCACTTGCTGTGCTCTTGGGTGCCGCCTCGGGGTTTCGGCTCCTCAGCCGGTCTCTGGTTGATGCCGGCAGGGTACCTGTGCAGGGAGAGCCCTGGGGAGGGCTGGGTGCAGGGAGCTTGCAGGACACCAACATCTAGCCAGCACCATTCAGTTCAGCTGCATGCTGAGCCAGAAAACGGAGTAAAATCACTAACTAATCCCTTCCCTGGCTTTTCTTCCAGTACCAATCGTCCCCACCTTCCTTTATACAACAGAATATGAAGGCGCTAATAGCTCTGTTGCCCCAGCCCAGACTGAGCCGGCTCCTCCAGCCTTGAGGGCTCCTCCTTTCTCCTCCATGTTCTCCTATTTTGACAACACCACGGTGACTGTCTCAGGCTCCACCAGCACTGCAGAGCTGGCGAACAGGATGGAGAGCAGCCGCCTGCCGCAGCCCCCCACCAGCAGCCCACCTCTGCCGAGCGGCTGCCCGGAGGGTGAGGAGTTCCTCGCCAAGGAAAACGTCCGTGTGGGGCTGTTGTTTGCCTCCAAGGCTCTCGTACAGCTGGTGGTCAACCCATCCGTGGGTCTCCTGACCAACAGGTAGGTCAGAGACCTGGGTTTGTACCAGGCTGGAGCCCTTCAGGGGTGGGCAGGCTCCTGGCTGCTAATGAAATCACCATCAGCCAAGCAGGAGGGGTCTGTGCTGCACATGTGCAGCCCCTGCAATCACAGAATTACAGGAACTGGTGGGTAAAACAGCAAAGGGGAGTATACGTGCATGAAAATAAGCATTAATTTTAAAGCCTACAAATGGCTTGCAAGTTTATATTACAACATAAGCCTCACTAATGCTCTCCTCAGGTACAGACAGATGCTGTTTAATACCAGCAACCATCAAATAAACAAACAAAGATTCCCACCCCGCTGTGGATATAGTGTTGTTGTTCAGATTTTATGCCCCTGAGTTTTAATTTGCCTTTGTCTCCAGCAGACGCATGTGAGGGGCACTGGGCTCATCTCCACCTGGTCTGGGTGGGCAGTTGAGTTGGCAAAACAGAGCCATGTCTCTGGGTGTGCTTTACAGCATTATCTGGGGACACTTAGGCACTGGATGCTTTCCTGAAAGCACTCATGGGCACATCTGCACGTTAGGGAGATGTCCAGCAGCCCACAGAGAGGTGTGTGTTAAGGCTGGGCAGCAAGACCGGATCTCAGCCTGGAACGAGGAATCCTCCCTGAGATGGTGCCCCTTTTTTCCCTTTCCAGGATAGGATACCACATCCCCATGTTCATCGGATTCGTCATCATGTTCCTCTCCACAGTCAGTGAGTACTGCCCTTTCAGCTGCCCTTCATACGCAGCAGCACAGGAGAAAATACTTTGGTCTGTGCCTGTACCACTGTCCCCGTGCAGGAGAAAGGAGTGAGAGCAGAGGAACTGGTCTCAAAAATCGGTGACAAGAAAGGACGAGCGGCCCCCTGCCCCCTCCAGCACCCAAACTGGTGCAGGCTGAGGCTGCTCTTACCCTCTGCAGGGTTTTAACGCTCAGCCTGCAGCTCTGCCTGACGCTGTCTCTCTCTCTCCTTCCTCTGCAGTGTTTGCGTTCTCAGGCACCTACACCTTGCTGTTCATCGCCCGAGCCCTCCAAGGCATTGGGTCATCGTTCTCATCAGTCGCAGGTAAATGGTTTAGCTACACCGTAGTCTTAGAATCATAGAATCACTTTGGCTGGAAAAGACCTTTAAGATCATCGAGTCCAACCTTTAACCTAACCCTGGACATCCCACCATTAAACCATGTCCCTAAATGTCTTCTAGATTAGCTCCCCTTGTCTGGGTTCAGTTAGCGTCTCAGGTACAATCAGCAGCATGGACACGCTGGGTGCGTTCCTCAGCTTCGAACTCCTCCTCCTCACTGCGCCTGCCTGGCTGGTGCAGATGGTGTACCAACACAGCCCAGCCAGCAAGCACACAGACGCCCGCAAAAAGCCCAGGCTGCTTTTGGAGAGGGGCCCCACCACCACAGTACCAGCCAGCCTCACGTGGCTTCTGCTTTCCCTCTGCTCCCAGGCTTGGGCATGCTGGCCAGCGTGTACACGGACGACTTCGAGAGGGGCAACGCGATGGGGATCGCTCTTGGAGGCCTGGCCTTGGGTGTGCTGAGTAAGGAAACTTTGCTCCCAACGGGGTTTAAATCAACGGCATCTCCAGAGCCTTGTTGGCCATCACCTATGGCTTCCACCTGCTTGGCCGTGCCCCTTCCCCGGCAGCATTCCGTGGACACGGCTGGGCTGTCCTCCTCCCTCCCTCTGCTCACTCTCCACGGCCACTGCCCGCTGGATCCGACCCCTTTTCTAATATCACCCATCACCAAGCACCCGCCGGGGGATTCAGAGAAAGCCACGACGGCAGGAGCCGAGCGCTGCTGCCCGGGCGCTGGGGACGGTGGCATCGCCGCTGTGTGACGCAGCCTTTCCCTTGCAGTCGGGGCCCCCTTTGGGAGCGTGATGTACGAGTTCGTGGGGAAATCGTCCCCCTTCCTGGTCCTGGCGTTCCTCGCCCTCTTGGATGGAGGTGAGAAGCCAAATGGTTTCATCCTACCAAAAAAACCCCCCAACAACCATGTGAAAAGATTTAAATGCGGGTGTTTCGGGGAGAATCTCACAGGGTTTGTGTGAAGAAAAAGGCAGATTAATACAACCCGGGTGATATCATCAGTGCTGGTTATTCTGTTATTGCTAAATCATATGTTTTCTACCAGCAGATGCATGACATAGCACTATAGTAAGAATTAGTCCCTCATTACTTAATAAACCCCTTGATTGCTTTAATGGCTTGAATAGCACATTCAGTAAAGCTCTTTGAACTGTGAATTCTTTGTAAGAGGCACGCTTGTCTGCCGCCTCTTCACCGTGCCACAAAGGAATTAGACTTTGCCAGCATAAATGGTGATCCTCGTTTTTCCTCCGACAGCTGTATTACAGATGCAGGCCACGAGAGCCTCCAGAGTGTAACAGCAAAGTTATAGATAGCAGAATTGTACATTATTAGTGGGAAGTATTAAGCTAATTAAATTATAGTCACAGTTACCATCTTTGCCCAGATGTAATGCAAGACATCTTTAATGAAGCATGTAAGAGCCTTTGGAAAATGAAATGTAGGTCCCATACATACAAAACTTTCTTTCTTAATCCTGTTCTTTTCCACATCTAATTTCTGTCATGCTCTGGTTGTGGCTCCCCAGCAGGCAGCTGGCAGCCTGACGGAAAGCGTTTGCATATTTAACTGCTTCGTGGGTTTGCAAAACACTTCTAACACAGTCCACTTCAGGGAGCTTTGCTGCTCCCTCCCCTGGGAGCGGGGCTGGGAGCCACCTCTCCCCCCTGCCCGCTTGAACAGGGTCCCCAAACACAGTTCCTGCATCCCCAGGGGCTTCTGCCGATGAAAGGGGTTGTGCTGAAGGAAAAGCCAGAGGGAAATGCGGGTTGAAGCGACGCTGTCTCCAGCAGTAAGCTAACAGCAGTGTTCTCTTCCCAGCTTTGCAGCTCTGCATACTGCAGCCCTCTAAGATCTCCCCCGAGGTGAGTACAGATGTGTGTGCATACGTGAACCAAGCGGGCGCGGGGCTGCGCAGGCACCGAGCCGAGGTCGGGTGTGAATGCACACGCGGCTCTCGGCTGACGTGACCCCCCCTTTGCCATCCCGCAGAGCACCAAAGGCACGCCGCTGTCCACCCTGCTGCGAGACCCCTACATCCTGGTCGCTGCAGGTAAAGGCGGATGTCAGCGCACGCCGCGCTCCTCTTCGTGCACCTGCGTCTCCTGATTAACGAGGTTCCCTGGTGCCTGCTGGAAACACCAGCACATTAAAGCATTCCTCTCTTTTCTCCCCGACAGGAGCCCTCTGCTTCTCCAACATGGGGGTGGCCATGCTCGAGCCCACCTTGCCCATCTGGATGATGCAAACCATGTGCTCCCCGAAATGGCAGCTAGGTAGGTGTCGTGCTGTGCAGCCTTCACTCCTGCACAGTTGCCTGGTGTAGCTGAGCTAGAACCGGTCCTGCTTTGGCACTGCGAGATGGATTGAATAATCGCTTCTATCATTCCAAACCAGAAGAAAACGTATCCTCTCACCCGCACAGAGTGAGCGATCCCAGGCTGCCTGTTGCTCCAATTTCAGCTGGAAATGTCCTTAGTGGTAGCTATACAATGTGCTTTTCTCTATTATTGAAAAGATTGTATGGAATCAGGCTCCTCACAAGAGCAATAACGGTGGAAGAAAGGCTGTTTCGTGCACGGGAAGCCTGTCGAACCCCGTCTTCTGCAGGGCAGATAATGGCATCGTGCTGGGCTGAAATCCTGGCAGCCAGATGGGCTTTGCAGAGGCGGCTCTCAGTAAAACAAGGCCGTTTAGAGAGTCCCAGGCAGGACAGGATGGTACGTGCTAATTACCATCTGCCTCGAAAATGTGATCTGGAGATAACGTTGTCTGTGTTTGCTACAGAAATAAAAACTAATTGTTGTAAAACCCAATTGGCTGAGGAATGACCCAAGGGGTGCCCCAGGCTACACTTAGATCCCAAATTGCCTGGGAGCAGGAGGGCTGAGCAAGCTCCTAATCGAGTTATCTGCTGGTCAGGCAGGAGCATCCATCCCGATAAGAGCCCACGATGCTTCTCAGGAGCAAGCGATTGAGCAAGGAGGGGCGGGGGTAAAGCAGCGTCCCAAGGACTCCGGCAGTGGAGAGAAGGAACAGCGTAGCTGCCTGGTAACCACAAGCATCACAGGCTGAGAAAAGCACTCCAGGCTGCTCCCCTCACCACTGAACCCAAGGGGAACCTTGGAGGTGACTGAGCAGGACCCAGAGGTCAGGAGGCATCAAAGAAAATCCCAAATATATTCACTAGATTTTCAGGTCCCTGGGATTTGAGAGCAGCTCAACTGCAAGCCACCCATCCCACAAGCTGTTATGAACTCAGGGGGCTTCTGTATTTTCATGCTTTGGCTTGCCCACTCGCAAAACTCGGGAGAAAAACCCCAAGAAGAGCTTGGACTAAACCTGCAGGATTAACCGAGTTCTGTAGCTCTTACAGAGAGGCGAGAAAATTAAACATAAATCAGTGTGTTCCAATAAGGAAGTTGTCTTAGTGAAATGGAGCTGATCAGTTTTATTTATAGTTGGCAGGAGAGTGTATTAAAAATAAACAACTGGTAAATCAGCAAACTGTGCAAATATTTGACGACATAATGATCCCCGAGCTTTTTACTTAAGCAGTTGTTTTATTCCTCTTTATTTAGCAAGTGAAAAGCAGAAGGCAAGGGGAGAAGGGCGGAAGAGGAAGAAACTGTGACAGGAGAGGACGGGCGTTTTAAAGCAGTGGGGACAAAATGTTCTGCATTTAGCTTCTGGCTGTCTCACAGATCTTGTGGGTGAATCACTGCACCGCTGCGTGCCTCAGTTTCCCTTCCCATCAAAAGCAAACACATTTTCTGTGCCTTCCTCTGCTTTCATAAAGGGATCCTCACCCTTCTACAGGGCAGCGAGCCATGGGGCAGCCAGCGCAGCCGTGGAACGGAGCAAAGGACACGGAGCAGCACCACTGCGTGGACAGGCACCCCCCAGAGCCGGGGCTGGACTTTAGCTCGCCTTCCCTGGCTCCTGATACTCTCCAAATGAGAGGCAGTTAGCGAATATTCTTGAAAATCCCCTGCATTTCTTTGGGGATGACACACGCTTTTTAATTCTCTCCCCCGCAGGGATGGCGTTCCTCCCTGCCAGTGTATCCTACCTCATCGGCACCAACCTCTTCGGGATTCTGGCTAACAAAATGGGCCGGTAAGTGGAACGTAAGAGATTTCAGCTCAAGCCAGCCCAGTCCTGCGCTTTCAGCATGAATTGCGCTGGTGGTGGTGTGCGCGCTGAGAACATCTGCCCTCTCCTAACTGCGGGCTCGTTGCAGGTGGCTGTGCTCCCTGATCGGCATGGCCGTGGTGGGAATTAGTCTCCTTTGTGTAAGTAGTTCGGGACAATTTCGAGACCTTTCCGTAGAAGAGTCAGCAGGGGCAGTGTGGGCGACTACTGAAACGGGGTTACGTGCCCGCAGTCAGTAGATGTTCAGTGGTTGCACGTCTGTATCGGTTTCACAGATCTACGCTACACCTTCACACCTCACACAGCTCTTCTGGCCTCACTCATCTATTCCTTCTCTCTCCCCACAAAGGTACCTCTGGCCAAAAATATTTACGGGCTGATTGGCCCCAACGGTGGGCTTGGCTTTGCCATAGGTAAGCTGTCAGTGCTCAGGCTGTGCAACACAGCTCAAACGCAGCTCTCGCCGCTGCCCTCCGAGCAGGCGATGGCTGAACAGGTCCTTCTTGCGTTGGGCAGGAATGGTGGACTCCTCCATGATGCCTATCATGGGTTACCTCGTGGACCTTCGCCACACCTCCGTCTACGGCAATGTCTACGCCATAGCTGACGTCGCCTTCTGCATGGGCTTTGCGATTGGTATGGACGAGCTCCGACACGTGGTGTGATGCACTCAGCGTGTATCCCACTCGGTTGATCGCTCCCCTCCACCCAGCGTTCACTGCAAGCAACCGGCACCGAGCCTGCAACCCAGCCACCATCGATTTACAGATCCCCTCCACGCTGGAAAGGCGCCTTTTTCTCTCTGCCATCTTAGCCTTTTTTAATTTTTAAATTTGCAGGTCCGTCCACGGGCGGTGCGATTGTACGAGCTATTGGGTTTCCCTGGCTGATGATCATCATTGGAGTTATCAATATCGCTTACGCTCCTCTCTGTTGGTACCTGCGCAACCCTCCCACTAAAGAGGAGAAGACTGTGAGTTTAAAAATACTTTATTCCCTTAAAGCATAGGGATTGATAATCCAGAGATTTTTGGGGGGATTAGAATAAATTTGCCAGGGATTGTGTCTTCCCTTTTGGGCTTTACTCCGCCTTTAAAAAAGGGACGAAAACCTCAGACAATAAAACCAGAGAAGTTTAGAGCTATGGTCCTTTCCCTAACTCGCAGCTTGTATTCCCTGGGCAAAAGTTGTTGGCTGCTTTGCCTTTCTCTAAAAGTGGTGACG